GGCTCTAAAGATAAAAAGGCGCGCGCGCAGGTGGGAAATTTTTTTTTTTCGCATTGTGGTATTATTTTGTGCGTCTATGACTACAACTTGCATCGTTTTATAGACAAGAAAAAGAAATAAGACCTTTGGGGAGTCAGTGCCCCTTTAAGTATGTGCTTCCGAGCATGCAGTTGAGGGATAGTGTTTAAAACTGAAATCGATAGGAGGTGTTGCCATTATTGAATATTCTGATTAGGGATGTCGCGAACCTGCCCAGGTTCGAGTTCGACCAAGTTCAACTTTTTCGAACTCTAAACGTGATGTTCGACAAAGGTTCGACTGAAGTTCGTCTTTTGTGCGGAATATTTGTTGGGTGTATTGGCGTCACTGTTCACATTACTAACTAACGAAAGCATTCCAAGCGCATATTTTCGCTTTTATATGGTGTAAACATTAATAACTATTTCATAAAATATAAAATAAACTACTTTCTAAATCATTTGTTTTCCGAAATTCAAAATATTCAGTGTCAAGGACTCCCAAGACAATCTCATAACTGCGATCAAGTTTCCAGCGATGTGAAGTGTCTCTGGAAGTATGATCCCTTATTTTATAAATACGATAAAACATAATGGGCGGTAAAATGACTTTCACCGCATTTTTCACACGAAGCGTTTTTTTGTACAAAGATAAGCAGGCGGCTTTTAGGATACAATCCAGATGCTTTTTTAATTTTTATTTATGCTTGATTTTATAATGTAAAACGAATGCTCGGATTGAGGGTGGGATGCGGTTCCAAATTTTGCGGACGCGTTTCGGATGCGGATTCAAAATCTACGAATCCGGATCAGGATGCGAATACAATTATTTAAGAAAATTGCGGATGCGGTTCGGATGCGGATACGAACTATGCGGGTCGGATCGGATGCGGATAATCAAACTGTTATTCGCGCACAGCTCTACTTATTTGTAAGTTCTGCTTTGGGAGATCAATAACGGATGGCTGGTGCGTGAATATATCCGCCAATTTCAGGCATAACAAAACGTCAGAGTACAAGAAATAGTGTTTATAACACAACTACTAACCGCGCATTTGGATTAGCGCAAGCCGAGTAGAGCGGCCAAAAGCAAATTCCTTCATTTTGTGTTCTCGTAAAGTTTGCTTGTTCGAGCGGGCGACATGTAACGGCGTCTTAATCGGATTATGGCTGCGCCCATGCGCACCCCAGTTGAGCAAGCTGGCGGCGCCCTGAAGCAGGCCGTACTTGCAGACGAGTATTGGTATATAGCTTGCCACACCCAAAGAGGGCGCGCCGATCCAACTGATCTCCAAAATCCCCAAATTACAATAATGCGCAACCTATTTTTTTATTATAAAGGGGATCAAATCTTGCTTTCTTTGCGCCATATGGAGAACTCGAACCATTGCCGAACGACGAACGGTGCTTGTCAGTCAATCTAAAGCAATGGCTTCCTGTTGGAATTGATCCGCGTGAGCCCCGCTTCCTGCAGACTTCTTTTTTTTATGCATTCACAGTGGTTGAATTAGTTTAGCCAATGTAAGTACCAAATCTCTCATCGTGGGAGTTAGAAATACTACAAAATTTACTCGCGTTCTAGAGATAAGAAATCACAGACGGGATCCAAGGGAGCGAGAAGGAAAACGCCTCCTGCGAGCATCGCAAGCGAACGCACCGGGAAACATGCGAGCGGACACTTCACCTCCGCGGACTAAGGCGAGGAGAAAACGCCCTTTGCATATATTTCTATTGTCACATGCAATTATACAATAGAGACAATAGTTGTGTCACATGACAAAAGTGCTTATGTTGGCATATACATAGATGAAAACATAAGCAGATACTGTAAACGACTTAATTTTTGCGAGGACCTAATTTTCGAGAATTTTGCGAATCGCCTACAATTCGCGAAAAATAGGTACCGCGAACAATTCTGGCAAAATGTATACACATTGGAATCTATCTTGTGATCCCACCGCGTCGCGAAAATTAAAACCCGCGAACAATTTCAAAACTTCAGCTTTTACCCAAATTGCGAAATATTGAGCCCGCAAAAAATAAGTCGTTTACAGTATATATACTAACTGGCACCCACACATCTTATAGCAACAAAAACAAGCGTCTTCGGAGACCTCTTTACTACGCCTTTAAGTTGTTGCTTAATGCAACTAGAGACTGATGCATTATCCCATGAATTCTTGCAGCTCTCTTGCTGCAGTTTGCTAGGGATGCAAATAATATTTTCTACCAACTCAAGGAAGCAAAAGTGCTCATTGAAACTCTATACTATGATTCGTAGTAGCTCCATATACCAGAAAAAGTGTTACCTTGCCAAATTTAGTAAAAGAAGTATTATCTCTGTTTCTGCAAGCCGATCTTAAGCTACGGAAGGAGGACACAATCAAAAAGTCTGTTTGGGCGATGCCGCGAGAATGCATTACAGATGAAATAGGCAAGGCATATAGCTTCGCTGGGCGCAAGACTGCAAACTATCCCTTCAAGGTGGTGTCTGTATGCACGGTGATGTTTGGTAAGCTTGTCCAACTTTTAGCCTTCTAAGGCCGTTACAATTCAGTTTTTATTTAAGATTATTAGGCACAAGAGAGGTATGGGGGGGGGGGGGGGTGCAATCCAAGATTTCGAAGCTGGCAATTCTGAGTGAAGCTGAGAAATGTATTGCGCATCTTTCGATAGCATATATTTTTTTGACATGCATAGGGTAAACTTAGCCTCTGCATTTTAAATTTGTAGTGACCGCTGCCAATCAGCCAATTATCATGAATATATTTGAAAAGATGCTCGAAACAGGAATTTAAATATGGAAATTTAAGTTTAAATTAGCCTGCGGGAGCAGACTAAGTGAAATCAAATGCCATTGCAGCTGTTAGTATATGTACTCTACTCTGCAGCGAGGGCTGCAGGCACGAAATTGCGGCTTTGAGGCGAGCCTTCCTGCCACACGCACTCACAAGAACATGCTTCAAAGCAAGTGGAGTGAGCTAGCTGGTGCTTGCAGCCTTCGTTGCCCTTTCAGCCAGTTATTCGGGCAGTTTTTTTCTAAATCAAATAATGTACAGTCTCCGACAATATGAAAGACCCACTGGGAGCGCGTGGCCGAGGCAATGGCTGGCGGGGGCGCTGCGAGCGTTCCGGGCAATTCCATTCTGCTTCGAGGGCAGGACGCTCACTCGGGGCTCAGCACAATCTGATGAGCGCGTTTCGCTTTAGCTGAGCCCGAGTGAGCGTCCTTTCCTCGAAGCAGAATGGAATTGCCCGGAGCGCTCGCCGCGCCCCCGCCAGCCGCCGCCTCGGCCACGCGCTCCCAGTGGGTCTTTCATATTGCCGGAGACTGTACACTCCACAATACTAGACTGAATGCAATAACAATATAAACTTGCTTTCTCGCTTTTGTAGCTCTTCTACCAGCGTTTGCTGTGCTAATGTGGAAAGAGGGAAGGGCTCCGTCTCATTGCTCTTCTTGAGTTGCAACGTACTATACTAAATAATAAAAAAGTTTACAAATTTACGTTTCTACAAAGCTATCACGCAACAGAGAGGTACACAAACAACTAAATGGACACATCAACTTTTACTATACCCATTTTCACCTCAAGGAAAAAAAGCACGTTTTGCGCATTATTCATAGGCGGCGCGAAGTAGTGCTTACGAGACTTGGTTGTCGGAGGAAAAAGCGATGCTTTTGGCGTTTGGAACGTATACGTCTTGATAAGACAACATATATCTAATCTCAAACGCACCCGCATATATCTTAACTCTCTACACAAAGGGGGAAATCAGTGATGGTCCGCGTGGAGCCAGACTTTTTTTACTACGGTTCTCGAGATGAAAACAAGTATAGAAACAGACATTCCAATTTCCCGATGGTAAGCGATTCTGCGCCGATCGCCGAAATGCTCGCATTGAGGCGCCATCTGTCGTCACAGTGTGTAACTCTCGCTACAGTTACTCTAGGGGTGCCGAGTTACTCTGGAGCTCAAGGTCCGAGTGTAGCTCCCTACCAAGAGGAGATTAGCATTCAAGAACGCAGGGGAAAAAAGTACTGATCCATAGAGAGAGTTTAAGGTAGTGCAACCTCACCTACTCACTCTACTTTTACACCTTTTTTTTTAGTGTTGTTGTTACTTGAGTGAGACGAAGAGTAGTGCAAGCCCTCATGCAGTGATATTTTTTGTGATTTCACTCTACTTTTTGCAGTGATAAGTTGTCCTAAAAGGCAAGAAGTTTTCTGTAAAGAAAAGGTGACAGGTGGCCACGACCTTTTCGGGTTAATTTTTCTAAAACAAACTGCAATTAATCCTATATTCGCGCTGTGTACAGATATAGCGTCAATATAAGGCTAATTGTAGCCTTTTGGCGCGAAATTAGCTCCAAAAGGTTGTAAGGTTGCCAAACGTTAGTACCCCCTTGAAAGGCGGAAAGGCGGAAAAGCGTAATTATCCCCTAAAGGAGGCAAAATTGCACTCCCAAAACGAATTCGGTTACTCCCGAAAGTAGTGAACGTTACCTCCCCGAGGGTGCGCGGTTACTTCCTTGTTGAAGGGTGCAACCTTACTTTCCCGAGGGTGCTCAGTTGCTCCCTGGTTGAAAGTTGTATAGTTGCTCCCCTGTTGCCTTACCTCCTATGCTGAGTAACCTGTGTGACAAAAGTGCTACAAGCCTGTTACCTCGCGAAGAATGCATGAACGGGACCTTTTTTTAAATTTTTTTTTTAAGGGTGCATTGTCAAGCGATTCGGTTGTAGAGCCCGCCGATCTGCCTTTGACACCAAAAGTGTATACAGGAGTTGGATCCCCGTTATTCCGCGCCTCCAACTCCTGCTAAGCTCTCGGCATTTCGATCGGCTCGGGCTCTTTGCCGAAGTGCCTCGCCGACGCTGGAACGCAGCGACACTTGTTCGGTTGTCTGGCTTTATTCAACTCGACAGCCGCCCCTGTTACAACACGCTCCTTTCTTGGTGGAGTGCCGATCGACACGGAAGCATCACAATGACCTGGCGCCTTCCCTTCTCTTGGTCGGCACGTGCACGTTGCCCGGAGTGTTGATCTTGTTCGTTTGGATGAACTGGTCGGCGTTGGACACGTCGTCGTCGTACAGGAAAGGCTGGTCCTCGATGCCGATGTTGTCGTTCACGTAGAAGAAAGCTGGCGCGTTGCGGCACGGCACGGAGTCCTCCGGGCGGGTGCACGTGAGCGTGAGCTGGTTGAACATGGTCAGGTTGCCACATAGGAAGCTGAACCTCTGCAGTTGTCTCGTCTCGATGGACCTGAAAAGAGTGAGGCAGCTCAGTTCATGACCCCGGAGGCTCCGAACGTATCCCCCGCCAGTACGTGCAGTAAAGCCACGCCCGCCGCCATTGACGTGGCCTGTACCTTGTGCAGCATGACCCATGACCTTTTTTTCTTCTAGCCAGGAATGATGACCACCATGGGGACGATCACGTCTCATGCAAGCGGCGTGCAAGATATCTGCTGCGCTTGTTTGTCGCCATAACGGCGGGGTTGTCTGAATTAGTGAATACTACTAGTACCTGACGTCCCTCGACGAACGCTATGCGAGGTTGCGGCAAATCCTTCTCCCTCGCTCCTGTCGTCTGCTAGCGCGCGGTCCGCCATATTCTTCCTAACATCGCCCACCATGGCAGTGTTCGAAATCCTGCAAGTTGCTCCGGGGCGTCATGTCACGTGACAATGCAGATAGAACAACGCTGGACGCGGAGAGGTTTTTGACTGCCAAGGTACCGAACCATTACTCGAGAGTGCGGTCAAGTCAAATCCACCATGTTCTTCCTAACCGGAAACGGAAAGCGGGCGCGGGCCAATGGGAGAGCGCGTCGGCTAATCAATCGCTTTCGCTACTTAGCAAAGCTTTAATCGAGGGTCTTCACTTGTGCCCATTGATAGGGCCATATCTCATGCTAAGAATGACACGTATAATTATCACTTTAGAACTTTCCAAAAAAGTATGAGGCCGAGCTCCCTGTGTGCAAAGAGCCTCAAAGTGTATGCAGAGCTTGGGCGAGTTGGGGCTAAGAGTTGATGTTAGCAGCGACAGTGCGTTACAAACAGGAACAAAAAACATACTAAGTGTTTTGGTTTTCTTTATACTATGGTCCATGCTTCTTACAGAAAATTAAAAGAAAAAAACGTGGGTGGTTAGTCAGCGCTGTGTTTGTCCTTCTATGTGCCTTCTTCTTTTTTCGGTTTAACGTGGTATTGCTACCAGTGGCGTAGCCAGGGGGGAGGCTTATGAGGCTTCAACCCCCTCCCCCAAATTACAGCCGACCCTATAAGATACCTATGAATTTTTACCTCCCGGCCCCCCCTCCGCATCCCAAGTCATGGACGTCTCAGCCACCTACCCCCCCCCCCCCCCCCCTCCCCTTAAAAAAAATCCTGTTGATGCCACTGGCTGCTGCAAATATGAACTCTCACTTAATGTGGATGCCATCATAAACAATGGTGCAGTAGTAGCATGCCACTTGATTGTTCATGTAAATATATAAGCTGTACGTTTACAAGCCCGCAGATGCCTTCAAGCGTGTGCCCCAGTTCGAGCTCCTAGCTTTGGCTATCGACCTCATCCTGGGGCACGCGTTGTTTTGTTGTTGTTTTTGTTGCGCGTTTCCAATGATCGTGCGAGGTCCACTTGCTCTCTCCAATTCGCCTCCTCCCACCACCTCGTGGACCAGAAGGCTTTTTCCACGTGACCTACCGGAGGGGCCAGATGGGAATCCTTGAAAAACAGCCGAAGGCTGACTTTCGCCCCGCCTCCGCTAGGTCGCGTCCAAAGCACCACGGCCGTTCCTTTCCTGATAGCTTGAGTCGTGGGCTCATTTCTACGCTACTCATTAGAAGTAATCAAAGTAACTTGTAATTGATTACTTTTTTGGAGAATCTCGTAATCATTTTAATACATTTATTAGGAAGTAAAAACGAGAGTATTTACGAGAGTAATCCGATCCCTTTTGATGGCGCCGTTTGAACAATATCCTACCAAGGAGTCCTCGAACCAAGTCTTCGACATGAGAATGGCTTGTCACAATTGGTTGATTAGGAACAGAAGTAGTTTATAATTCGGTGACACTAATCCAATATTTGACAGTACGAAAGGCTCGCTTTCAAACCGGCAGAAAAATCTGGCGTTTTGAAAGGCTGAAGTAATCGGGGAAGTAACGGTTCGTTTTTGGAGCAACGTCCAAATAGTTTTCTTTGCAAGTAATCTAGTAATCGAATTGAATACCTTTTAACCAGTCGCAATTGTAATTATAATCGATAACTATATTTGATTAACGAGTGCAAGACTGGTTGCGGGACGGAGCGCTCACTGGATATGTCGCCATCTACCCAATACCTTTTAGGAGGAATGCAAGAAGCGGTGAATACATACGGCGTGGAAGTTGGTCGGCTTCTTTTGCACCTCGTGCGTTTGTTTACGCCCCATAGGAGCCCACGTGCTTTCGTTTCCCTCACCCAATGACGGCGCATCCTACGGATAATGTACACACAAGGTGTTTCCGCAGCATTCGTCGTTTTTTTTCGAGTATACGCTTATAGCTTGCAATTTTATTTCAAACTCTGTTCTCTTCTATCGAATGATGGATTCCTTATATTTTTTTTTCATAAACTGTTCGGACTCCGAATGCTGAAAGCCGAATGCCGAATGCTCAACCGCGTTCGTCGTTCAACAGTTTTTGGGAAGAAGCGAGAAAGGGCAAAAAGAACTTCCGACTAAACTACACTGCTTTCCGGAGTAGCATACCTGGTGCAGATGTGGTAGACTCTGCAGTTGTTGTCGATGTCTGCGAAATAGCCGTCGTGCCGGCATTGGAATGTCGTCCTCAGCGGCTCCAGCAGCAATTCAGAACCTCGAGGCAGGCTGTACGTTTGACGCTTCAACTACAAAAACGAAACATCAAAATAAAGGTCGAGCGACCAAAAACATGCTCATATCGACATCTGCTTCCTACGCTGCGTTCTAGCATGAATCTTTTGCCGCGTTGTATACACCTTTGCAAGTGGGATCCCGGCTTAACCTCGAACCGCGCGCCAAGGTGAGGCGGACCTACTCTCCAGCCAGGACGTTCGCTGGTTGTCGTACAATGTTGCCAAGCGTCTCTCGCCAAAGCGTACACCACTGAGCGCAGAAAGAAATTTTAAATATAATTATAAAACGTACACGTGGCGTCTTCGACAGCGAAATAGCAAGGACAATTAAATAAAATGCCTAAAGCGGTAACAAATCGAAAATTTTCAAAAAGGTCTTAAAGTCTCAAGGCGCTCTCTTCAGAATGCGCCAAAAGTCGCATGGCCTTTGCATCAACGATGGCTGCGCTCGCGGCTGCTCTGGCTTCCACAACATGCAGGAACAGAGGCTGCGATCGTTATAAAGTCAGCTCCAACCCTGAAAGATATGTGACGCTACGATTCTGTGTGGATACCTCCTCCTGCGTTCCGAGACAGTAAGTGTGCCGCTAACGTAAGCTATCGGCGATGCGGCAAACGGCACCATCTTGTCATCGCGCACCCCAGTGACGTGCCCCTGGCGCACCCCAGCATGGCGGAAACGGTACGGGGCGCCAGCATCGCTCAAAATGGCAGCGCACAGGAGCCTTTCTTGCAAACGTGTATAAGCTACAAATGCTTCCACAGAGAGACGTTGTTTGCACGAGCACTAGCGGCCTCTCTCGGGGGCTCGCTCTTCGTAATATTCACTGAGGCTGTCCTCAAAGTTTCTTTGCAAACTTGCTCGTTTATTACGGGCAACCTGTACTATGTAAGTTCATGATATTTGTTGTATAGAAAACTGTACAAAATGAAGTTTTAATATAAACTACCCTGGTTTGTTTCAGGTAGCCTCTAAAGTTAGCGGTGTGGTTTCATTTTATTTATTCATTTAATTTGATACGTACATCGCCTGTAAAGGCATTACAGTAAAAAAAAAAAAAAGGGGGGGGGGGCGCAGCTACAGAAAAAGTGCAATGCAAAGAGTAAATGAAAATACTCTATGCACGAGAAATAGGCAGCGAGTAGGAAAAAATAGTGCAGAAAAAGACATTACACACGCTCTTGAATTTTTGAAGGAACAGCTCCGGCAAAGTGATTTCCACAATGTCACGCGGCAGCTTATTCCCTTCCTCGATGGATTGTGGGAACAAATAGCACTTGAATATAACTGTCCTGCGTTTAGATGGACCAATTTGTTTAGAATTATCTCTCCTATGAAATGCGTATGCAGGCTCCAAAATGTACATGAGCCTACAAAGTAACTACAAGTAAACTGACGGGGATGCCGGCGAATCACTTTAAAACGAAACCGCAGCTGCATATTTGGATAGCCTTGAGATGTGGCTTGCGGTGCTCGCCCAAGCTCGCCTCGGTCCAGGCTGAAAGGTTTTGTATCTTTCTCGTTCAGGCTGTACTCCGCTCACCCTTACGTTGAGACTAATGCCGCAAGTGCGAGAGCTCGAGATCGCTGCTTTGAAAGGTTCTTCAGCAGAACGAGAGCTCGTGCTCGAAAGGCACGTCCCAGAACCAGGAGCGGGGGCTAGCTCGCGCTTGTAGCTTTGGCTGCAGTCTAAACTTAAGGATGAAGGGAGTATTCGCAAATTTCATTCCTGTCATAATGGCTGTCATCTGGGTGATCGCCGTCGAACAGACGTGCGAGGTTCGGCCTGCGACGCGTAAGTAATTCTAATTTTGTTAAATACGAGTGAAATGAGAGCCTTGCGTCATGCTTCCACGTCAGGAAGGTGTAAGCAAGCACCTTTATTCTGAAGCCAGAGTGCAATCTTCACACCACGGTACCACCATCGGTGAAAGTTGCGAAAAGTCAAGCGCCGCAAATCATATCCATTCTGCTGAACCATTCCACAACCTGTGACGGAGGTTTACAAAGAGGGACAAACGCAAACGTCTCAGTTGAGACGTTTGTAATTTGTCCCTCTTTATAAACCTCCGTCTTGGGTTGCAAAATGTCTTATAATGACCAGCTCGCCTGCTTAGTCAGGTTGTCTGCTGAACCCTTTCCAATTGTTCCTTCGGGTTCGAATCGGTCGCCTCGAAACGACTCACTAAACCTCCGTTTTGTCCCGAACAATTCGCGCGCGCATGCGAAGCGGCGAATAGCTCGGGGACGAACTGTTTGCGTCAAAAGGATGAACTAAAACTCCTTAATTATTCGCTCGATCGAACGGCACCGTTCGAAGCTTCCCCAGACATTGGAAGCAAGGGCCATCAGCGCCGCTCTTGTCAAACGTACCCTTAAATCGTCGGCTTCCTCTTGGCCATATGCAACGGAGAGGGCGATGAGACCTGGTGGAAAGACATGTCAGAGAGGCAAAGAAACAGTTGATGATGGGTGCACACCCGTCGTCAAGCGAAACTTAGGTGAATTCCGCTCGTAGATTTCGAGCGCTCCAAAAGCGTCCCTTTTGGAGCGAGCATATTCAGCTGCCAGATCCGGCTTAAAGGAGCGATGCAACAATTTTCGTACTGTGCACAAATACCGCTTAAAACGGATCCTTAACGTTAATGACCTATGAAACACGCGTTCGTTTTTCACCCCACGCAATAGAAGTCCCCAAAAAAAAATTTAAGAAAAACGATCAGCGTTCACCCCCTCAACTCGCAGCCAGAACAAGCGGCCACGTGATCTGGAGCCGATTATATGCCGCCAGTGTTGATCATAGCCACGCGCTGGGGTTGGCAAAGCGCAGGACACACGCTGAGTTCAAGACATTGTTATGGCTCGGCTGTTGTCGTCGTTGCAGCGATTGGACACGGGTCACAACCCGAATGCTTCTCGAGCTAGCAATTATCACGAGCCCAAGTCGAGTGCCCACGCAATGCTCGGGTCCAATCTATGAACCGCATTCAAATATCGTCACTTGGGTGTACTGCGATCCCCAAGTTACGTCATGAAATTTTGCAAAGGAGAGACTGAATGAAAATGATCGCTTTTGTCCTTGGAATTACACCGCAACAAAGGAGTTTCTTGGCCAATGGCGTTGCGTGTGAGTATCCTTGAGTCCCAGGTGTGCCAGTAAGCTCGTGTAGAGAGAAAAACATTCCAATTGAATATCGTTGCACCGCTCCTTTAAGTTGGTCATCTTCCACTCGTAGATTTCTGGCTGCGCCCGCCCCGTGGAGCGCCTCCAACCCCACCGAACATGATCCGTGGGATTTGAGGGAGCTTGGTGGAAGTTGACAAAAGCGCGCTACGTCATTTCCTTTAACTCAGCGGTTCGCATGCCCAACGAGGTTGGTGAGGTCGCCGGACCGGCTGGTCCGTCAAGTTGGATCTGTTCGAATACGTCGGTTGTTTACGCGGAATCGGGATGGCTCAAACGCTTCTACCTCGCATAGATCAGGGATACAAAGCCTGGACTGGAGCGTGGCACATCGTAAGCGCTGGCATCTGTGAGTGTGAGAGAGAGAACGAGAAAAAAAAAATACAGAAAATTCGAAGGAGGCAGACGCAAGGTTAGGCCTGTTCATTTTGCAGCCAATGATTGTTTACCTTTTTACACTGTATGCCGCCGGCGTTTTCTCGCGCAATGAAGCAAGAAGTCATTAGGCAACGACCGCGCAGGTGATGGTTTGCTACCTCTTCGCGTTTTTTAAAGTCGAACCAGCAATCTGAATTCCACCGATGGCAATTGCTGTGCGTGCCCCGTCACTTCGAGGCGGCCGAAAGGTATGGGACGGTGGCGAACGCGGACGGCCTTCCCCGTTATTTGTGACTCACGGGCTCCGTGGTACGGAAATTTTCACCCGGCCTGTGTCGCGCGTTATTTCTGCAGCTAAGCAGTGACAGTTGGGACTGGTCGTCGGAAACCTCGGTCGGCTGAGGCGTTGGTCGGCTTGTCGTTCCAGCAGCGGCCATTTTCAGCGGCCGACTGTCTAGGACGAGTCGCTCCAAAAATGTGGGTCCATCTTCCCCTTGTCGATTTGGAGCAGGTCCCCCGGAGCGAAATTTTGGCTCCCTCGTGGATTTTGAAAAGCGCTCCGGATCTACCAGTGGAATTCACCATTAGTTTCCGTCGGCTGTCTGGCTGCAGAACGAGCTTCAGCACAACGGGCGCCTTTCGTCCCCGTCCCCCCCTTTTCCCAACCAGCACACACGAAACAATAATAAAAAAATAAAACAAATTCTGAATGTTTTCCAAGGAAGTCTATTACTACTTTCATCGCAAAGATAAACCATCACCGGACGCGCTGTATCCGCCCGAAAGTATCACTGGTGGTCCACCCAAGATGCCAAAGGTTCAGGACAAATCTTTATTTGATTAAAATTATATAAGCGATTTTCGGAAATGTTCAATGGGAAATGTTGCTGCGTAAACTTGTAAAACTTGTAAGAGCAAACACAGAGAACGAACACGAAGGAGTGCACAAAAAGGAGCCTACGAAGCCCACCAGTACATGGGACTGAAGGGCGCAGACTATCAGGATTAATGCCCCATTTTCCCATTGGAGAGTTTTAGAAAATAGACCATTTTAAAAAAAGCTCACTGTTTCTTCTGAAACCTTTGGCAACCGGTCCGCCAGTGCCGAATTTGGCCGGACACTGAGCGTTCGGCGATCCGTGGTTTATATTTTCAGTGAGGAAGAAAAAAACAAAAAGACATAACGCTGTGAAAATGGTTCTACATAGTACTAAGAAAAGAATACAATTATCTCTAGTATCACATAATAGACGCGAAGAAATCTATCTGAATCCGCCTCAAAGTTGATGGAACTGGCAAAGTTTGAGGTGCACGAAATGACCAAAATCTGTTACTACACTAGCGGGCGAGGTACGGCGAATCCAACGGCGCAGTCAATACCACCGTGTCGGCGTAGTCCATCCTGTGCCACCTACGTCATGCTTATGGCTCTCAGGGAGATTTGTTTGCTTGTTTTATATGCTCTCTACGCAAAGCCCGCCCCTAGAGTTCCTCTACAGGCTGCCTACGGGAGCCGAAGTTGCGCGTCTGTTTTCCACTTGCCACCGCGGCGCTATTCGCCGACATCGATCACGTGAGGAGCAAAGCATCCAGCGCCGTGCAGGAAAGCCACCGCAAGGGTCGCTTCGCCGACGTTGCACGCGCTCCGGCGTATGTTCCCCTGCTTTTGCCTTCTTCTCCTCCTTTTCTGTAGTCCATGCGCGGCGGCGCGCGCGGCGCCCCTATTCGCCGAATTCAGTCACGTGACAAGCAAAGAATCCAGGGCCGTGCAGGAAAGCCGGCGGTAGGCCACCCGCCGAGGATGAACGCGCAACTCTGCTACCGTAGGCAACTATACAGGAACTCTATTCAGCCCTAAGCTGAGACGGCGCTGGAAGCTACGTTCTCGTACGACGAGTCATACGCCCCTCTTTCGCCACGTGATCATGCTCTTGCTCATACCCAGGCGCAGGGGGCCGGGTCAGGTGGTAAAAGAGAGGCGGCTGATTAGTTCGGCGGTTGGCCGCGTGATTCGCGAAACGCGCATGCGCCAGTGTGCTCCCGAGCGAGCCTCCGTCATCGGCGACAACGTTCGCCGCGTGCGAGTGAGCCAGCTTGCAAATTGCCACGTTGAGCACGGCATACTTCGACAAACCCATCGAGACACATCCACGTGTAGCTTACAGCACTTCACTCGCTACTACTGTTTGCAAAACAAGCCCTTGGGAAAACTTGCCTTCTTCTGCGCTAAAACATAAGCTGCGGCCTCAGTAGTATACAAGCGTCGTCGGCTGTATCAGACTGCCGATTGTAGCAGACGACACTTTCTCCCTCACGCCGAGCTGCGGGCCACCGCCTGGTACGTGACGTCACGTTTTCTACCACGTGGTTAGAGCATGTAGGTGACGACACAGGCGTGATGTTGTCTGCTGCAGGCATGGTTTTGGTTCCCTTTGGGGTAAGCTTTAATTGCCCGTAAAATATGACACGTTTGCGCGGAGAATTCACGTAGAACCCTTTATTGCTACCTCGGTATCTATAATCGACCATTAACTCAAATTTCTTGGAATTAACCAGACTTGCCATTTAAACGCACATCTGCGCTTCCTGTGTGATTTGGGCAGTCCTAAAAATGAATAATTTAAGCGTTATCGGGAGTCTTTAATTGGAGCCATATATTTATTTCCACTAAGTAAGAAGCAAAGTTGAGGTAATTATTTTGCTAATCCCTGACGTCGGCCACCCCTGTGGGGGGGCTCTGGAATTTCGGGAAGGGGGGGGGGGGGGGGGGTTCGGGGCCCCCGATCTCCTCAGGCGCCTATGTCGCTGTCAACGCCTTCATTAAGCCTAAAGAATGGAAATGAAAATACGCACGTCGGATATTTGGTAAACATGGGGCATACGTTAAAGACGGTTTTAAGTACGCCGACGAATAAAACGTTGAATGGTACGCACACTACCTACGCAAACTCTAGTTTTTGCGCGAGCGTACCTCAATCGTTTGGCACTTCTTTGTCACACATGATGCATTCGAAGGATAAGCCTGCATGTCAAATTCATGGGTTCATTGTACTCAAAAGGCGGCAAACTTACCGAGGGTGAGGACCTTCATGTCTGTGGCTCGATGACTTCCTGGGGAAAAGAAACGATCTGTGTTCGAGTGATTCGAACGAAGGAGGCGAAGACTATAGACTGGTCGGGGGACTCTTTGCGAAACACTCGGGAGCCCTCCAGTCGGCGTTCTCAAGTCTCCGGCAACTGACCCAAAGTTTGCAGAGACACTGACTTCTCGGACCTGTGGGGTTGCCTTTTATACTAGCTTTACCGAACGAACTCGCCGGTTTTGGCAGAGGGCGCTACGTTCGTCGCATCCAGAACTAAGAGCGTCGGGGTTTTCTTTCAAATGGCACGTTTCTGACTGTTTTGAGAAAGGGCCGGAGGTCACAGCTGTTACGCACTTTTTTTCTTTTTTGTCTCGAGGCATCTCAAAACTCGAGCAAGCAACGCGCTGCAACGAAAACAAACAAATTCGTCGTTTTCTCCCTCTCTCTCTCTCTTTTTTTTTTTGCTTTCAAGAACTTGTGGGAACCCGAGACACGGATGTTAGCGCGTTGTATGGCGAGAGGTCTGCGGCACGCTTTCGGATTAAGCCACAAATGCGGTACACAGTTTCTGGAATGTTGGAAGAACAAAAGAAGAGCCCTTTTTTTATATAATAACCGTGTCAAACCGTGTCGTGCAGCGTGCATGCGCTTATTTGAGAAGTCCTCGAGCAGGAAACACTCTCAGTCCCGGGCCAAAAATACCGACTCTCCAAGCGACTGCCTTGCGTGTGCCACGCGTGGACGAGCTCCTCCGGGGGAACCGGTCGGATGCTGACCTGGGAGGCGGCGAGGGGACACTTCCCGACCCCAGTTCCGGATCGACGCCAGGAGCCAAGCCCAGACGCGAGACGTGCTCTGAACTTGGTCAGCTCGGCGGTCGTCGCTCATCGCTCTGTAACTGTGACCAGACGTTCGATCGGTCGAAGAGCGCTACTTCGCTCAGTTGCAAGTAGCGCTCTGTGTTGTACGTTTCTTTCACTTGTCCGTTGTTTTTAGCGCTTTTAACCTCACATACACGTTCAATCGGTCGCCTAAACGCGCACAGTTGCATTCGGCGCCCTGCGCGTGAATCCGACGGTTTTAAACGTGATTTAAATTATGATTTCAATCGAGCCATTTTTACTACAATGATTTAAATCGAACCTTTCCCGCTAAATTAATTACGAAAAGTATTTGTGTATTTGTCATTTTATGCTTTTTATGTGCATTTGTTTGTATTTAAATCGAGTAATAATCGAGAAAAACGAGTTATCTCGGGCTAAACACGAGCCAAAAGCAGTGCTGCTCTGGGCCATCGGAGCGTCGACTGCCGTGCACTTCGTCCGTCTGTTCCGTCAAGCAAATCAGAACGCGAAAGAGAAAGCGAATAGAGCTCTTGAACTTACTAAAACAATCGAGCCGTTTTTGTTCGGATGTGTAGGGTTCACATCAAAGAAATTCTACAAACCAATCTATACTTCGTCTTACCCTACGATGGACTAAAGGCAAAAGCTACGAACCGCCAGATCCAATCACGAGCCACTTAGGAATTGTGCGGTATTTTGCTTCGATGCACGGTACCGGTGCCCGCATCTCGGATCACTGATGAGGGGACGGGTGGACAGTGGTTCGAATCGAAGAGCACTGAGTGAGTCAACAATTTTACGTCGCAAAGGAAGCCATGTCATATTAGCGGCGAGATGTTCTAGTGGCGCCCTCCTATGGTTACCTTTCGTGACGTCATTACTTTGCGAACAGCAAGTTCGATGGTGTTTGTAATGAGCATGGTAGAAGCTTAAAATTATTGCGATCTTTAAGGAACACTACCAACACCGTTGAAATTGAAGTTCTTCCAATCCTGTTATTTCCGTCGATGAGAAATCCTTTGCTGACGTCATAGTCAGCATTCGACCAATCGCGGAAGGCCGACCACAGCGACGCTTTCGATCGTTCACGTCGCCAATAGGCTCTTTGCAGCGTCGAAGCCATCGAAATAATACGGCGCTTTTGGATTGGAGCATTATTCGTCCACCCCTAATCAATGTTAAGCGTGTCATAGTAAAGCATGAAACGTGATTGGACCTGTCGGCCTGTGGCTTTGGCCTTTAGTCCATCGTAGGATGAGACAAAATATACTTTGAATGTACATAATTCTTTTTCCGTGTTTTTATAATCAGTGATAGGAACGGGTTGATCAATCAATGTGCTTTGTTTAAAATACGCCCGGTAATAAATAATCACTGTTTTCTAGCTACACTGATTTAAATATAAGTAATTTGATTCAAATGAAGTAAATTTCACTGAAATCAAATGAATCTGATATAAATGAAATATATAATATTTATTTGATTTTCTTTTCAAAGCTGCGATTTTATTCCACCCTGGAGAGGAGTAAATGCTTGATTGATTTGCTATATTATCGATTAGATGCTGTGGGTCGCATTGACCCACGGCAGCATGCCATCACGCATCAGCACGCATCGACACGGCCGGCGTTTTCTTTTTTTTTGCCTGTTTTTAAGGATTACTATAAAAAACTATTCTCCGGTATCTGACATGGACGCGCTGTATGCGGTGCAGGACTATCCGATGTGCGGAGAGCGGCTCAGACGTGGATTCTATGAATCGAGTGGAGGGGAGATGCCGAGGGCGAGGCAGCAAGTTGCTGGTGGATCTCGTTTTGTTCAGACAATGTTTATCTCAGTGCTCTCAAGACCAGGGTGTCTTTTAGCTCGGATTACTCGGTCGAAATCTGTCGCCATTCCGCAAAGCCTAAATTTTCTACTTTCGTAAAGTCGGTGATTTCCCTACACACTGCACACACCCTCGGGGGGTGTGTAGTGTGTAGGGAACCCTCCGACCCCCTTGCTTTACTGAAGGCACCCCCTTAATTCGCAAGGGCTCCTCTAATCTCAATGCCCCCTCCCCCTAACCCCGCCTCCACCTCTAAAAATTTAGACCCCCCCCCCCCCCCCCCCTCTAATTTCAGTTCCTGAGGAAACCCTTACGCAAAATTATCAAGATTGCGCCTGAACCGCCCTGACCTCCGATAATGACGTGATCGCTTCCGATGATAGCTTTTCTTGGCCCTCTTTAGAACACAGAATGTGTTCTGGCACCTAACCGTTTGCCGTTTCGCATTCCAGTAACAGAACTTGTAATGTCGCTCATTTGGTTTACAATGTGATTTTCTTGAACCGTCGTTTTATCAAGTTCGAGACCACTTCAATAAGCTTGAGATGTCGAACCTCATTTTTATGTCAAGATACAAAGGTCGTCACTTTTATTTATTAAGACTCGCATCTCCGTTTTTATAAATTCTCATTCTCGAAAATGATGATTTTTTGGGGGTATTCTCAAAATTTGTATCCAGGTTTAGTTAGCAAAGTTTCTCAAATTCAATTTTGCTTGTTAGTGGCTAAGTTTTGAATAGGACGACCATAAGCCGGCTTGGCATCCTAATCGTATCCTAGCAGCTTATGCGCTCCCTATAGAATTTGGCAATGGTTGTGCTTGGCCCTTCCTAAGAGCCTCTTATAAAAAAAAGTCGGGACTAGGCAAGTGTGCATTACACCAACGCGAAACCAGAAAGACTGTCCATTTGTTGTGCGTTAACTTGTCTCTAATTGGATGATGCAGGACTCATCTGCTGTGGCCAAAGGTGCTAGTGAGGACCCAGCACAGATGGTAGCTCCACCACCACCAAATGATAGGTATAAAAAACAGTCTGGATTCATCTCCATGATACACTGTTTGCACCTATGTCGCGTCATTAACATGTATTATGCACGAGTGCCGTCGGTAGTCTCATGCTGATGGCCAGTGATGGTCTGTGGTTGCAGCTTTGCTACACTATGATAATAGTGAACTGCGCTGGCTCCAGTGGCCCAAAGTGCCAGCTTATGTGCCCATCTCAGCAATTACATAAAACAGTGAACCCTACCTGCAATGTGCATAACTATGAGGAAAGTCGAATAAACTGTCATAAACACATTGTGCCTGGTCGGTAACTCCCAAGCTGGCTGTAAGTCCAACCTTGTTTATGTTTCTAGCGAGATGACACCTCAGCAAGACTCACAAAAACTGAAGTGTAGACATGGTGCAGAGGCAATCTACACATGGTTATTCGAGTTTTGTGTCGAACAAGACAGCAGATCAATGGATAAGACTAAGCGTCAGTTTACAAAAAGACTGTCTCCAGCCCCGCCTCTCGACAGCGGCTGCTTCCACCAAACATTCCCGGCAATACCACAGCTACCCACCACTCTGAAATTGACAAGGGAATGACACTAAGACAAAACTGGCTCCCCAATTTCAAAACTGATGTCTGCTATTTATATAGAAGGCCCACTTCTAAAAACATTTGGTGCAAAGTGCTCTGAGAGCAGGACGCACGTTGCTGAGCATTGCCTGAACCGGACAAACAGGGTCAAACTTTGTCGTTATCATTTGACGGTTTAAACTTCAGCCTATGCCTATCAGCGGCGATATTTTTTAGTGGCGCCCTCCTATGGTTTCCTCTCGTGACGTCATTACCTTGCGAACAACAAGTTCGAAGGTGTTCGTAATGAGCATGGTGGAAGCTTGAAATCATTGCGCTTTTAAAGCTAAACTGCCATCACCTTCCAAATTAAAATTCTTGCATTCCTCTTAGTTCCGTTGATGAAGAATCCTTTGCTGCCGTCATAGTCAGTATTCGGCTAATCATGGCAGGCCGACTACAGCGACGCTTTCGATCACTCACGTCGCCAATAGCCCAAGTGCCCGCATTAGCACATATTGCCACGCGCGTCTCTGAGCAAGCGCGCCCATGGCGAAATGACAATAAAAAAAAAATTTAAAAAAGCGCCCGTGGTCGATTGGTTATCGTGCTTGGCTCCGACGCGAAGGGCTGTGGTTCGATTTCTGGTCGCGCATGCGCCTTTTTGTTAATGCCCCGCACTTCCACCAAAATGTCACAAATGGCAGATGGTGAGGTAACGAATGAATGAAAACCAAACGTTTAATTTGGCCAACTTGTGCCGAAAAC